CACCTCAAAGCGGGCAAAGAAGAGGTTCAACTCCTCTGCCAGAGCGTTGTCACCATCAGCAGCTCCGCGGTTGGCCCTGTAGTTGGTGAGGTGCTGGACTCCCTGCCACACCTGCCTGCTGTCGTGACTGTCCAGGCGTTCCTCAATCCTCCTCCTGTAGTCTGCTTTGGCCTTGCGGATGCCTCTCTTCAGGTTAGCTCGGGCTGTACTGTAGAGAGCTTTGTCTCCGGAGTTGAAGGCGATATTCCTCTCCTTCAGCAGTTGCTGGACCTCCCGGATCATCCAGGGCTTCTGGTTCGGGTAAACCCAAACGCGTTTGTCCACAGTGACAGTGTCTATGCAGTGTTTAATGTAGCACAATACACTGTATGTGAACACCTCCAGGTCCTGATGTTCGAAGAGCCCTCAGTCGGTCCTATCAAAGCAGTCCTGCAGCTGCTGGGTGGCACCCTCAGGCCAGATGGCGACAGTTTTTGTGATGGTAGGAGCCGTTTTCTTGATGGGGGCGTATGCAGGGATCAAAAGCAGGGACAAATGGTCAGACTGGCCCAGGTGTGGTAGTGATCTAGCCCTGTAGCCTAGTTTGATGTTGGTGTAGACCTTGTCCAGAATCTTAGTTCCCCTAGTAGCACACTTAACATGCTGGTGGAATTTAGGGAGTGCTGCTTTTAAGTCTGCATGGTTGAAATCCCCTGCTATAATCAGCACAGCGTCAGGATACTTGCTCTGCTGAATGCTAATGCTGCCATGTAAAAGTCCAATAGCTGAGTTATGCTTCTCCATCACAATGCTTATGCTCGGCGCTCACTCCAACTATGCTCCTCCATCACAATGCTTATGCCCCTCTTCTTGCCCCGTCGATACTTGCGTGTGTGGGGTGTGTGTGGTGCGTTTCACCCGCGGTGGCCGAATGGCCCCTCGCTGCGACCTTGCAATCTTAATGCCGGTCGCAGCGCCGCGAAGTAGCATCGGGGGAGGTCGTCCAATTCCCTGGTCACCGGAAACCGTGAAAGTTATCCCGATAAGGGTTTCTCGGATTAAAACCGGTCGGCCAGGTGACTTCCACTCGGAGCTCTATGGGGGGGGGGGGGGGAATGCGTGCGGGGGTGTTCATGTGAGGTGAGGTGAGGGGGATGTGGGGTTGGCTCCGTCGCTTGGTGGTGGCGAGGTCATAGCTAGGGCGCCTGTTGAACGGCTTCGTGGCGGCGGCATCACATAGGCCCCCGAGGTGCTGGTCCCCGTCTCGGGTTGACTGGAGCACCTTGCTTGGGCCGCGCCCACGAGGAAACGCTGCGGGGTCCGGGGGATCCGTCCGGACCTCGTGGCTGGTCTCGGGGCGGGTGGCTCCATCCTCTGCAGCTCCTGCGGCGGCCTCCTCCTCCACTCCAGTGGCTCTCCCCGTCCTCCGGCACCTGTGGGCTGGGGCACAAACTCAGCAGTGGAAGGGTTTAGGGGCTGTCGTCCGCGCCGTCTCCTGACTGGATCGGGGCGTCTCGGGGGCCCAGCGGGGCCCATGTAGCGCGCGAGGCCCCCAAACACGGGGGGTGCGGGTACCCCGGGATTCCGGGGCCTTCGGGTGACGGAGTTCTCTCTCGCCGGGGCCGCTTTCCATGGTTTTAAGCGGCGGACGTTGACCACTGTCTCTCGACCACTCTCCCCGCCATAGATTAGTACCGTCCAGGGGGAGATCTGCCGCACCACGGTCCAGGGTCCCCGCCAGTAGGTCGTCAGTTTCCCCACCTGCCCGGCCCCGACGCGAGGGGTGTGTAGCCATACCTTAGCGCCGGTCAGGAATAAGGGGGGTTCCATGCTATGCTAATCAGATGCGCTGCGTGTTGCGGCGTTTATTCTAATTATGCTTCTCCATCACAATGCTTATGCTCGGCGCTCACTCCAACTATGCTCCTCCATCACAATGCTTATGCCCCTCTTCTTGCCCCGTCGATACTTGCGTGTGTGGGGTGTGTGTGGTGCGTTTCACCCGCGGTGGCCGAATGGCCCCTCGCTGCGACCTTGCAATCTTAATGCCGGTCGCAGCGCCGCGAAGTAGCATCGGGGGAGGTCGTCCAATTCCCTGGTCACCGGAAACCATGAAAGTTATCCCGATAAGGGTTTCTCGGATTAAAACCGGTCGGCCAGGTGACTTCCCCTCGGAGCTCTATGGGGGGGGGGAAATGCGTGTGGGTGTGTTCATGTGAGGTGAGGTGAGGGGGACGCGGGGTTGGCTCCGTCGCCTGGTGGTGGCGAGGACGTAGCTAGGGCGCCTGTTGAACGGCTTCGTGGCGGCGGCATCACACTGGGCGAGGTCGTCACCGCGTGCACGCAGTGCCCATGCACTGTGAGCGCTGTCTATGAGATGTTTGTTGCCAGTTTCGAAAATGATGAAAAATAATTATCGGTGTTTACCCTTTCTGGGAATGAACAAGAGCTGTGTTAAGATGTTCAATCAACAAACAGGTTCTACCTTTAGCACGGCACGAGTTCGATTCCCGCTCATGGCCAACACCGGTGACGATTATCTGAACTGGTCGTGGACCGCCCCTAGGTAGACTCAGCCTCAAATGAGTATCTGGTGCGGTGTGCAGTAAACATCACCACTGGGGAGACAAAGGCGGTCGGGCGTGATGCTGGCCACCCACCCCCTCGTGTGCCGTTTCGACCTTCATAGTTGCTGCTACTCGCTAACAGCACTTGACCCAACAGTCTGTTGGGGCTATACGGGGGTTCTTTGACTGTGTAAGTGGCAGTGTGGCTCGCTCACCCCACTCACACACGAGATGACCGCTAGATGCACCACCTATACCCCCTACTGTGCCGACTTCTTGCGTTTTAGCCACCCAGCGCTCAGCTCGTTGTTATGAGCGTCGCTCCTCCGCCCTCCGTTGTTGCTGGAGGGCGACTGCCTCCAACTGCCCAGTAGCAGCGTCTTTCACGAGCCTTCTCCACAGAGGCCGATCTTGACACCGCTGGTACCAGTCATCGGCAAGTCCACTCAGCTCCACATCCTCTTGCACCACATCACTCCATCTCATTCTCTAGCCTGTGCCGTGCCCGTTTAGCCCCCTCTATCCTTACAAACAAAAGCTGTTTAGGCATGCGGTGGCTGGGCATACGGGCTACAAGACCCAGCCAACCCAGCCTTGCCTGCAGGAGGAGCTCACCGATGGGACTTTGTCCAGATCACGCTAATGTTCAAGCAAACACTCGCTCCCAGCGTGAAGCTGGGACTCATTTCATCTCTCAGAGGATCGCTCCACTGAACATAACAGCTGTGCGGTTCATTTCACAAGCGCGAGTTCGCATTCACAAGTGGGATGGTTAAAACATAACTATCTTGTGGAAGCTCGTTTTCGTAAGTCGGGTATTCGTAAGTCGGGTATTCGTAAGTCGGGTGTTCGTAAGTCGGGTGATCGTAAATCAAGGACTGCCTGTTCCAAAATACTAAAACCAGTCTGCACTGAGCAGCAGCAGTACCCTCCCACCCCCAGGGTGTAATCACTCGCTCACAGCGCTGGCCAACAGTGTGGTGCAAGCAGAGTCCAAAAAACGAAACTTCTGTCCGATTGTCCGGCGCCATTCAGTGGCCTCTGAGTCGGCAGTGTTCGGGTTGTATACAGCGTCCTCCACATCACCGATACGATTATACTCACACACAGAGTACCATGGACACACACAGAGACCCATGGGCACACAAAGAGGTCGGTCCTCGCAACGACAGCGGTTGCGAGGACGGATGGCCGTGGTCTCGTGCCTCCACACCTCGTTGCGTGTAGGCCAGCGGTCGGGAACCTATGGCTCGCGAGCCATATATGGCTCTTTCGGTGACGGCATATGGCTCCCAGACAATTTTGAGTTGAAAAAAATAAAAGAAAAAATCAGTTTTGAACTGATTTTAAAATACTTGTGATATTGCTTAATAATACTGTGTCATTTTGAAGTAAACAGAAATTAGTTTTGAAGATAAATTTCACGGGTCACGGGGCCTCAACGCCTGCATGAAGCTCAACCTCACCACGTATGAACCAGACTACAAGGCCATCAGCAAAACCACGCGGCACCTGAAGTCACATTAAAAGTAAGACATATTTAATTTATTATACGTTAAAAATACTATATGGCTCTCAATGCAATATATTTAGAAATATTTGGCTTTTATGGCTCTCCCAGTCAAAAAGGTTCCCGACCCCTGGTGTAGGCGGTGTGTGTGGGCATCTGTGACGTGGGCTGAACTACACGGCCATTAGGAACCTCCCCCCCCCTGCACCAGCACAAGCTCAGCGCCGCTTGGCCCAGCGTCCCCAGCAAGGCCGTCGTGATCCGAACTCGGCCACCGTGTGTCCCCCTTGGGGAAGACCCCCTACCTCCCACCACGCGCCAGATCCCATGGCTCGAAGTCAGCGGTGCCGACTCCCCGTGCCTGACGCGGCCACCGTGAAGCCGCGAGAGACGGAGGCGGAGAGACAGAAGCACCCAGAGGGGACGTGAACAGTGCCCCGGGTGATCCTCGTAGCAAAAGCAGCAAATGCTACGGGCCCCACGCTAAATATTTTCAAGCTGTCAATTCCGGTTCAGTGATTCTGCACTTGCTCTATTACTATACTGCCTTCAACTTTTATGGACTGGGTGTTTAAGGTGAGCGATTTGGCGTATTATCTGGCTGTTTCGCAAATGAAAAAATGCAATAACTTTACTAAGCAAGTTAAATATTTGTGTTTTAATATGTTTTTATTTAGGGCCCCTTTATAACAACAAATGCTCCAGGCCCCGCACGAGCTTCATGCGGCGCTGGGCGTGACCGCGGCACGCGGCGGGCGGCGCTGCCTTTTCCGGCGACTGACGAGGCCGCGGTGGGGCCACTTTGTCGCAGTGTCCCTCACGGGGGGCGGCTCACCCACGCAGCACCGCCACGGCATTCCTGTGGACGCACCACGCGAGACGCGCCGTGCCACTGCACTCGCATTCAGCGTGAGGAGATATCAATGCGGGTTTTACACGCAACCAATGTTTCAGTTTCATGTATTAGGTAGAACCCTGTGAGCCATGCGGCTCTTCACTCGGGTGCAACCGCAACAAAACAAAAACATGAACAAGAAACATCTTAAAGTGACTACACGCAACAGAAAAAATCCTGGAAAAAACAGCAAAGTCCTCCAGAAAAAACACCGTATTTCCACGCTGTGTGCAAAAAAATCCCATAAGACAATGTAGATTAAAGTTATCAGGCCAACTCTGTACTACAACAAAAAAACATGGCAAGACCAAACCGTCCTCAAAAATCACCAAAATAAAGGCACAAAAACAATGTAACAGTGATCCTAGGAACTGTGATTCTAATCCACGAACAAACGATGCGCATAACATGTACGACCAAACCCCACAACTGGCTTCATGAGTCACTCCATAACAGAAGGAGCACCCGTAGCAGAATACATTTCTCAATACACCTTTAAAGATAAGCACACCATAATCAAAACTCAGGATCATGCTTTGCAGCGGTCATCCGGAACGATACATTTGATTTCAGGCCATTCTGAATAGCAGTGGCAGCTAGGGGTGTACAACTCCTCTAGAGCAGTTTTGAGTGAAGATCTCCCGGGTAGTGATCCAAGTTGCAGTCTATTGGCAATATCATTCCAGACCCTGGGGGCATCAATAGAAAAGGCCCTTCCTCCAGTATTTGTACGGCAATAAGGAATGTGAAGCTGGTAATTGAGCGAAGACCTTAGGCGACGTGACAATGTTTAACGTAGATAAATATATTGCATTCGTGACCCATTTGAAGACGTTACCGCCTGGCTTCATTTGAATATATATATGGGATTTTAAAAATCTATTAAGATTAGCTTGTGTCCAAAACAATGCGTGCCCTCTTCCAATATAAAATTCCCTGAGGTTTGTTGCTGAAGGCAATACAGTTGGTACAACACTTTAGCAGTTCCAAGGCACAGACGGTTGGCAACAGTACATGATCAGTAGCAGTATCGTAGTCAATAGTCGGGAAATGACTCTACACACTCATGATGTCATCCAAAAAAATCTTCTTTGGCAAATCGCTCGTGTATTCTATTCCACTGCTAACAGCTGCAGTGCAAACGTTACATTAAAATACACGAATGGTAAGGTAATCGTAGCTTATATCCAAGGCACTTTACACGTGGTACAAGGAGGTTAGCTAAAGCTGATTTTGGTGGCGTGTGAGAGGAGGGGAAAGAGGGGAGGGGGACAGGGATGGGTACGGGGAGGATGGGGGACAGGGAGAAGAGGTGGGGGCCTTGAAGGAGGAGTGGAAATGGGGAGAGGCGGGGAACCGTGCCGAGTAGTGCCGAGTACTGCGAGTGTAACAAACCGTCTCAATCGATCAGTCGATGCATCAAAACTTGACCAGCACACATGTAAAGTACCCTACACACATCATCGATCGGTACCATCACTCATCAACATCAGAGTTATGATTCTATATTTGAAGTTTTCGTTACTGCAAGGATCCATACTCTTTGTTTTTTTTCGGTAAAGTCATGTAGGTGAAAAATAAGTAAATATATTTAAATGAAAACAAATAAATTAAATCACGACGTTTCGGAAGCAACACAAGCATCCTTCATCAGGTGTGACTGCTCCAGCAAAATTACTGAAGCGTATGAAGAGAGTTATTAAAAGACATGTTTATATAGGCTGTTAGGGGGGGAGGAATCAAGCGGGGGGGGGGGGGGGCATGCGGTAGGCCGTGTGGTGTCGCGGGCGGTTGGGCAGGGGATTAGCATGAGTTACGCTGATAAATAACCATCTCTGTTCTTTTGTGATGTCAGGGGAGGGGAGTTTGTGTACGAGTGCAATGGTGTATAATAGTTATGACCACCGGATGGGCCACGCGAATGTAGAACGAGCGGCAGCATTGCGTAATCACTGGACCCTGCCACAGGAAATGTAATCGCACTGGCCAGCTCACAACAACCCTGGGGTCGGCACGGAGACGCTCGGTCTGGCTCGCTGTGGGTTCGACCGAGCGGCAGAGCCGACCCGTTTTCAGAGGAACGTGTCTCTGTGCACATCGCTAAAGATGTTACGTTGTTCACGCGTCTCAAAATAATTCACTGCTGCTGATGTTGCTGCCCATGAGGGTGTTCAAGTAAACTGCAGATTGTAAATATCAAGCGGTTTTGATCCCACGCACTTTGATCAGATTGACAGCGATTACCAAAACATCTTCACAGCTGCCATTGTGTTAGCCCTGCCCTCATGCCGACGTTTTGGACGATAGCACTACTGCAACCCGAGGGGTCCCCTCCTGCCTCGGGGTCTATATTGCCACTTAGGGGTCCCACCCTTCCTCGGGATGACTACCACCTAGGGGGGTCCCTCCTGTCAAGGCCCCCAAAGCGAGCCCCCTTCCTTGTGAGTCAAACTGTTCACGAGATTGAGGCAGAAGAAGCAACAAAACTACGAGTAACAAAACAACTCTAGTCCAAATGCAGTGCTGGAAACGGCGTAAAATTGCTCGGGATTCAGTAGCGTTCACGATGGGGAGGCCCCGGTCTTCACACCTGGGTGATGGTGCCGCTCATTCCACAACTCCTTTGGAAGGTCCCATCAGCTGTCCTCCCTCTGCTGCACTCTCTCCTGAGACTACGCATGGAATGCCACTGGAAAACGAGAAACAAAAGCATCCGTGAGCGAACCACCCGGTAACACGACAAGCCATTTGACTAAAGCCCCATGTAAAAACCCCGGGGGTTGAATAACATCGGTAACGACTAAACCACATCACTTAATACAATCAATATTCACTAAAACAAAAAACCACGATGGTAACGCACTTTACAGCTTAATATAAATCGTGGTTGCTTGGTAGCACAGAGCCACACGAGGCAGGTAGATCAGTTAAATGCCTCATCCACATTCACTCATCAGGAGCTGGGTAGGGGTGGGGTCGTGGTGCCTGGGCTGGAGGGGGGGACACCTTCGGCAAGGCCCACTGAGCTACGTCGCTCTTTGTCAGAAGCGACCACCTGGCCATCACAAATGATATGCTCGACGCAGTGGCGGATATCATCATCATCATCATCACGTGGGGAATGTATAGGAGCAGCCAAAATACTCTAAACGCGTGGTGACGTTGATTGTACATGGAGGGGAAAAACCTGAGGAGCCGGAGGAAAATCCACGTGACCACCACGAGGAGAGAGAGAGAGACACGCAAGCTCCAAATACACAGCAGGCGTCAGGGTGGGGATCGAACCCACGACCTCCTCCATACGAAGTGAAGTAGTTAACATCTCATAGCCACGGCGTTATATCTTGCCGACTCGCCCCCGACTGGACATCTGTGAAAAAGAGCTTCATAGCTCATCGGATTCCTCCGGGCCTAAATATAGATTCATATTCCGTTGTCGCTGACACAGCCGTTGATAAAAAACATCGTACGAGTCAGCCAAGAGCTCGGTGTTGGCTCAGCGTCCCCCGTAGAGCCGCTGTGAACCCAGACCCAGCGGTGCATGAACGTGAAACCTCGTCAGTGACACCGAGTGGGAGGCCACCGAGAGAGCTCAACCCGTCTGCCCACGTCCACGCTCATTCACCAGGGGCGGTGCTGGGCGGTCCGGGTGCCTGGGCTGGAGGGGGGGGGGGCACCTGCGTTAGCGGCGGCAGGGCCCTGAAGACCGACGGCGTTTAATCTTCTTCCAGACGAAGACAACGATGATGATGACGGAGATGACGGAGATGACGGAGATGATGAAGATGGCGACAGGCAGGACCCAGGCAGCCACCACCCCTCCCTTGTGTGAGGTCTCCTCTAGAGGGCTGAGGGTAGAGTCACTCACGCCCTCACCGTGTGACCGTGGGGCTGCAGAGACACGGAGACAGAGAGGGGGGGGCTCAACGCGACCCCCACCTCGCACCCAGCACCACAGCCCCACCCAGCGACTCAACACGGCTTCACGTGCAGCAGGTAGAGACCACTCACTCAACACGGCTTCACGTGCAGCAGGTAGAGACCACTCACTCAACACGGCTTTACGTGCAGCAGAGAGAGACCACTCACTCAACACAGCTTCACGTGCAGCAGAGAGAGACCACTCAATCAACACGGTTAAACGTGCAGCAGGGAGAGTCTTTGCCGAGACTCCTCTCTGTACAACGACTGCTCCCCAGCTCTGTACCCTCCACCCTGTGATCTGTGACCCTTGACCTCCCCTCTCATTCACCTGCAGGTTTCACGTTCAGCTTCACCTCTCCTTCCTCCCACAAGTCATCCTTCCCACAGCTGGTACAAATGACATGGCACTTAAACACGGGGCTGAGGGTCCTGGAGACGTTGAGGAGCCTGAGGGAGCAGTCGCCCTTTTCCTTGTCTCCCGCAAACTCAGCTATTCCAAGCCGGATATTCCCGTGAAGAGAGTCATAGATCTGGAATTGCACAAAACACAAATTTGAACATGAACCACAATCCTACTACGATGAAATTACAATGAACCTTAACTAATTGGATCTTAATAGGCAAGCAGGATTGAGCTTGCTTAATACTTTGACTGGGGATGCAAGGGGTTGTAGGCTTGGGCTGCAAGGTGACCAGAAGATTATGGTACAGCCATAGATTTGGTTTACAGGTAGTGTTGAAGATTGGCTCTATCTATGGATTGAGTCTGTGTAGAGCTTTGCCCATTATCCCCTTGTGTGGTGGCGTTTTTCTCCTGGAAATAACGTTGTATTACTCTCAATTACTGAGTTGAATATTCAGGGTTGCCGTGGAAAAAGGTTCTCACATTGATGATATCATCTACACATGCTTACTATGTAGCGTGTGGGCATCGTGAGCCACGTGATGTAGAGGCCACTCGAGTCGGTCGACAGGGAGGAGAATGAGCAGGGAAGAGTCACGTTCTCTCCCTCCGTCACATCCACACTCTCCGGCAGGGAGAGCTGCAGCTTCACGGCAGACGTCACAGCTACACAGAGAGAGAGAGAGACCAGTCACTCTCATGAGAGATGCCTCCACAGAGAGAGATCAGCAATACCCTATCACTGTATAGACAACACAGATGTCTGGATAGAGACTGGTTACTGTTGTTAAAGTGCTCACCACATGTTTACTCAGCAATAGCAGAGCCAGAGGGAGTCTAGATGCAGGCGTTACATACAGCGGTGCTGTAACATTCACGTTTACACTGACCCAGTATCAGTGAATAACAAAACGAGGAGCTCACTGAAGAGTGACCTAAAATGAGCATCATTAGCATCAGCTATTTGATAGGAAGACCGCTGACCTGGTGAGTGAGCACGACTGCCTCCCTCACCGTCAGTGCTCACGTGGTCACACGGGCGGCGTGAGGGACGCGTCTCAGCGCAGCGAGACCACGGGAGGCACCGACGCTCACGGCTACACGGGGGCACTGGGACCCCATCGCCATGACGTTATCGTGACGACGACCTCCATTGGACTCTCAGCTGGTTACACATCACTTCTTTTCCACTGCACACCTGAGCCATGCTGGGATTGTGCCTAGCCGATGTGGTGCAGCTCAGGACGGGGCCAGGCTGTTTTTCCACTGCAGGGGCAGAGCCGTGACGTGAACGAGTCGAGATGTATGTATGTATGTTGAAAATTATAAATGCTGCACCTGGCCCTGCTTATGAGGCCAGGGTGGTTTGGTTCTGGCTCAGTGCAGCAAACTGCAGTGGAAAACCACCAGGACCGTCAGGGCTCTGGGCTGGCACGGCTCGGTTGTGCCGGTGGAAAGGGTTCTGAAGGAGACCGCTCCACGTGTGCTGGGTGAGTGCTTCTCGGTGTGAACTCACGCAGAAGGGAGATGAACGCTGCGACCAGGACCCACTTCATGGTGCCTCCGTCTCTTGATGAACACAGAAGAGAGTGGCTCATCACATCTCTCGCTCCACTCACCACCAGCGGTTAAAGTGGGGCAGGGTGAGCCGGTTTCCTTTCAATGAGGGAACAGACGGTTTGGTAGAACAGCAATAAACCCATAAGGTTCTCAATTTATATAGTTACTGCAGTTATTTGCACGTACATATTTTTTATTGACTGTAGTTATTTGAATGTACGTTTTTCGCCAGCCAAAATACATTTGCAAGCTAATTAAAGCTTCTGCTTTTGCATTCGTCCATTTTTGACATTCGTCCATGCTCTGGTCCCTAACCAGACGAATGTGCATCGTAATCCTGTACATAGCTCAGTGGGGTCTTACCTGGTCAAATAAAAATAGTTTAGTTTGTTTTGGAGAATACAAGTAACACATAACAAGCACCTTCGTATATCTGTCCCTCCACGTGAAAGTACACAAGAATGTTGACTCATCCCATCAGCCACACGACCTTCTGGGAGTGAATCATCTCAGCGGCAGGGGCTCAGTGGAAGGAAATTCTGGAGCAGTTTCAACATTCACGGCCAATAGGAGGCACGGGGCCCACACATCACGTGATGCAGAGAGAGTTACTGTTCATGTGAAGGACATGGTGAGAATCAGAATCTTTATTTAGACGGGAAGAATCCGATGAGCTATGAAGCTCTTTGTCGCAGATGAAGGCTTGTTTTTGTTATATATAGTCTCCATAACGACGCTGTTTATAATGATTATTGTTGTTGTGTAGTGTATAGTGTAGTGTGTGTGTAGTGGGTTCTCAGCGAGACAGAGACGACGTAGTTGAGGCACACTTGTTTTTTTGACCAATGGGCGGTAACACAATACTTGAAAGGGTAACGGCCCCTTCACCCGTACTCAATGGGAAACACCCCTAGCACTATCCCCTGACTGATCTACTCCCAGTCCTCCGCTAAGAGTGCTAGGGGAGGCTGTCTGATCCGGCCCTGGTCAAGCACGGATCCCGGCACCCAGCCAACCAGACGTGCTCTTACAAGAGCATCGCTCCTGAAGCTCTCAGGGCCACGCCACTGGCTTGCCCTGCCTGGTCCTGAGAAGGACAGCGAGCCAGGGGAGTCCCAGGGTCTATCTGCCGGTCTTCAGTCTTCACTGGTTTAAGCTTCACACACTTGACCTCGAGCTCTCCGGCACCCCGCCTTTTATACGAATCGCCTCCGAGGGGTGGGGCTATGGGGGATCACAGCGCCACCCATAGCAACAAACGTGAGATTTAACTCGTCTGTTGTCGTATCCTCAAAAAATCTTGCAACTCAATTTTTACCCACTTTCCAATGGGCTATCGACTGCAAAATTGGTATACTTAAGTCATACTGATGACAATACTATATTCTATAATTATTAAAAATTTTAAAAATATATTTTTAAACATTTTACATGCTTTTATTTCACTCTGTTGTCGTATCCTCAAATCTTGTAACTCAATTTCAACCGTCTTCCCAATGTATCGACTGCAAACTTGGTATAGGTATGTCATACTGATGACAAGACTATATTCTATCATTAAAAATATATATCTTTTTACGGGTCTAATTCTCGATGCTCAACTCACGTTGGCTGTAAATCACCAGGGTCCCTGACGTTATGGCAAGCCTCGGGCCCACTTCCTGGAGTCGTGGATTTCTGCCATTACTCGTGCGGTACATTTCATTAAAGCGTGTTTAAAAATATATATTTTTATTACTTTGGAAAATTATAGAATTCACCATGGGACCTTTTTGCCAGTATCAAAGTACAGGGTGTTGTAAAAATATGGACCCAATTTCACAGCAGTATACATTGAAATTGGGTCCATCCTTTTAAAACACCTTGTATAAAAAATAAGAATAGTTGTTTACATTTGTCATATCCATTTATTTATATATATATTGTCGATAATTGAGGATACATTAAATGTGTTTATTCAACGTGTTGTGCATGTTTTCGAACAGATATTAAGAATAGATCACAGCAAATATTATCACGATGCCATGAACACCTTCAAGACGGATCTATTCACACTTTGTGTGCAGGATAAATAAAGGTTGTGATTTTGATGAGTACTCACCCCAGCCTGTCCCGTGTCTCTGTCTCTCTTCTTGTCCCGTGTCTCTGTCTCTCTTCTTGTCCTGTGTTTTCTATACCTACAACACGTATAAATAGAACTCTTCGACGCGACCCCATTGGTCGCAACGAGGCAAGCTCCGCCCATCGCACCGTCCGCAACCAATCAGCGATGCTTCCTGCGCTCGCGCGCATTCCTGCAGCCACATTCCAGTGCACACATATTGTGACACAAAGGCCGCAATCTCGTGTGTCGATCTTTGCTTTTCTCCCGTGAGCTGTGGGCTTAATGTGCCCTACTGTAGCTTAGTAAGAGACGTTAGACCTCCCCCGCCCCTGTGTGTAAGTGGCGCCCTTCAAAGGCACCCACCACAACTGACCCCGCGGCCCCCACAGCCCACACGTCCCCCACTACCCCCACAGCCTCCACGACACCCACGGCCGCCACCCGCTGGCAGGGGCGGCTTATCCCGGCTGCGTGCAGACTCCAACTCGCAACCGGGACACCTCTGATATTTGGTCGTCCACGGCGTAGTTGTGTTGACAATCATCGTCACTGCAGCCGGAACGGGTTTTTTTTTCTCTGAGCGCCCCGTTTCGGGGAGCGTCTCGAGACGTCGCACAACGCCGTGGAGGGGGGAGACGTCCTCTGGGTCCCTTCAGCAAGCCGCAGTGACCGGCGTGGTGAAGTATGGTCAAACTTCACCCCCCACGCACACAGAGGCGTGGTTGTGAGTGCACGCGGCGCGTAGGGGCTCAGCCGTGGTCTATCCGCTGCTGGATGAAGGCCCCCTCCAAGCCGTCGCCACCTCGGTGCGCTGATGTAAGCGAGCCACGCAGCCTCCACGGCTTGGTGGTGTCGTTATCATCATCATCATTATTGCCGCTGTTATATCACTCCCGCTTGTGGGGTGTCATCAACACGTCTCACGTCCAGTGGATCTCAACACGCTGCACGGTCGTAAATGGAGGGATACGCAGAATCAAGTGCGCAGTTGATGACGAGTAACTGTGTCGGACGCTGCTGCGTTCTCTACTGCGCCCGTGAATCCGCCCGAGGCAGCGGCCACGTTGAAGAATGGGCGCGGAATTCAACCAAAAGGTTGACGGAGACCAGGTCGGCACCGTGCGGGCACCCCACAGTGGGGCGCGGCACCGAGTGGGGAGACGTGTCGTTGGAGACTTGTGATGGGGAGGGGTGACGCCAGGTGTGGAGGGGGCTTGGACGGCTCCGCACCCACCACAACTGCGACACACACGCGCGCGACAAACACGCGCGACGCCTATCTAGTTCCCCCTCCCCCAGCCACGGATACACGGCAATCACGTGTGTGCGTGTGTCGCGCGCGTGTGTGTCGCGCGCGTGAGTGCTGTGTGTGTGAGTGTGGTGAAGTGCGTCGTTTTGGCGCCGACTCGAAAGTTGTCCTTGCACGAGGCGTGGTTGTGAGTGGTGGGGGTGCCCACTCTCTACCCCACCACCCCAGCACCACCACGCGCGCCCTGCAGGTTCTGCTGATGTGTGAGCAGCCTCACAGGAGTCGTCACAGCGGCAGAGGTGTTGTGATTGTGTGTTGAGTGTTGACTTTAAATATGTGAATGAGTGTGCAGCGTGTGAGTGTAACAATGTGAGTAGAGAGATAATACTCTCTGGTTCTTTCGGGAAAGTCACTAAGATAGAAAATGAATAGATCACGACGTTTCGATCGCAACACAAGCAACCGTCATCAGGGGAAACAAACACAGCAGGAGAATTGCCGACGTAGGAGAAATAGCTGCTGCAACAAGAGGCTGCCACTCTACGCCCGACCTTATGGAAGAGGTACGTAGATGACACTTTTGTCATCTGGCCACATGGCCGGCCTGCTCTAGACCAATTTCTCGATCACATCAATTCCATACACCCAGCCATCAGATTCACCATGGAAGTCGAAAACGATGGCAAGCTACCCTTTTTGGATGTCCTAATTAAAAGGAGACCTGATGGTTCAATGAGCCAATCTGTCTACAGGAAAGCCACCCATACGGATGCCTACCTAAAACCGGATTCCCACCACCATCCATCCCAGAAGAACTCCCTCATCAAGACACTATACCATAGAGCCCAATGCATCTCCGACCAGGAACACATTGCCATTGAACTCAAACACGTACGCCAAGCTATTAAGGCTAATGGTTACTCCGACTACACAATCCGCAAAGCCATCACTCCAACCATCAAGAAGGATCCTGCTGAGGAGCCTTTCAAAACCATCACCTTACCCTACATTGCTGGGGTCACAAAACAGATCTCCAAAATCCTGATTAAACACAAGATTCAGGTACGATTCAACACAGTACATAAAATCCGTGATCTGGTCCCGTCTGTAAAAGACGTGGTTCCAGACATACAGTACCCTGGCGTCTATAAACTAAGTTGCCTCTATGGTAGCAGTTACATTGGAGAAACCAAACGGCATGTCTCAGACCGCATCCGTGAACATTAAGCAGACCTGAAACACGGTAGGACAAACACCTCAGCCGTGGCAGATCACTGTTACAATTCAGTGGGCTCACATGACATTGACTTTTCCAAGACAGAGGTTCTCTGCAAGCCATCTGGCTACCATGAGAGATTCGTTCATGAGGCGATCCACATATACAAACACAGAGACAATTTCAACCGAGAAGATGGATTCTGGCTCAGCAATCATTGGAAGGACGTAATAAACCACTTCGGATCTTAACCTCGGTGGGGCTAATATTCCATCTGTATATGCCTGCCATTGTTGATTGGGTGATGCACGAGTTGTGGTCACATCGGCCTATCGCTGATGGTTGACCTGACAGCCCGGAGGCGAGATACTCCGTGGTATGTCTCAAACTAATGGGCCGTGTGCTCATATGGCTCGGGGAGTCATGGTTCAGTTGTGCGGTGGCAGACTGAACCTGGTGTGCCGGGGGCTCACGGGATGTGGAGTAGAGGTTCCGTTACGTGCCAGCGAACGGGGTAACCTGGCTAGCATGGAGCGGGGATTCTCTTTGTGGGTCCTCCAGCTGGAAGGGCCGCGGACTTGTTCCACTCTGGGTTAGGGCGTTATTGAATCTATAAGAGAACATTGCCCCGTGGTGGGGGGGGGGGGGGTCGATGGGGTCTGGCATTGCCGGGGGATGAACCTTCCCTGGGCTATAAAGCGTCAGACTATAAGATGCTGGTGTGTGTCCATCGCTGATGGGTTAGCAAGGGAGGAGCATGGCCGAGTTGCTGCTCATCCCCGAAATTGCACTAGCCGAGAGTATGGTCAGTGGATGTTGCTGTGGTTTGACGACCACAGGGAGGGTTAGGGCGAGTTAAACGTTACCGCTGGGGAGCGTGGCTCTCTCCACGCGAGGGTGTGCGACTGGGGGCTTTGTTGAGAGTGACCGTGGGTACATGCTGTGTACGTGCGATGTCTGTGCTGGTCCTCAAGGGAGGACTGCTGGTGGGCAAGAGCAGGAATTTTTTGCTGTTGTTGTTGTCACGTGTAAATAATATTGTTGTTAAAATGTAAATACTGGGGCATCCATCGCGTCTATTTTGGGTATTTAGTGGGGTTTTCTTAAGCGGGCCGGATTTACATCATCTCCACTACCCTGGGACCGGGTGGCTGTCGTGTACGACATGCGGATATGCGTTGTTGCGCTGTGCCTCAGGGGGTTGGATTCTCCTTCTCGTCACAGATCTTCGGCGCCTGCCACACTTGGTGTTACCTGGTGTGCTAACTGGATGAGGACTTAAAGGAGCAATTGAGCGCCCGTTCGTCATTCCTGCTCTACCACTTGCTCTTTGACGTTTGACTTGAGCCGAGCGGATGGAACAGCAACATGGACACGCTCTAAGACACCACATTCCTGGGTTGTGCGCGTCGGCCGTTCTTCCGTGTCGGTTGCCGTTGTTGTGCATTGTTCCATTCTTATTCTCCGTTGGGTCTGTGGTGATTCCTGATTGTGATGCCTTCGCTTGCATTATTTTGTCCTGTTTCAGCCGAGGACGGCTGGATTTTTTTTTTACGGGGGGGGGGGGGGGGTGGTGTAATGCGAGCGTAATTGGCCAGGCCGGATGTGACGATCCGCGAGGGAGGAGTCAGGGTCACGTGGGAGAGGGAGGAGTCAGGGTCACGTGGGGGAGAAGTTATAGGAAGGAGACCGGAAGACATCTGGGGCAGTCGAGGGAGTGAAGAGGGGGGACCACGTTGGGTGGCCGCCGTGCCTCAGCCTGGTGGCTGAGGGGCTCACTAGACGGCGCCAGCCAGCGGAGTGAGGAGAGAACAGAGTGCGCGGGGCTCACAGGGCGTGCAAGGTTGCATGGAGCAGCAGAGTAGCTGCAGAGCTAGTGGAGGACTAGCAGGGGGTGCGAGGTTGCACAGGCAGCAGAGTAGCTGCAGAGCGGAGCAGCAGGGTAGCTGCAGAGTGCGCGGGGCGCAAGGAGAGACGACGCTGGGCCGAGGAGGAGGCCAGCGGGGTGAGCGGAAAACGAACACAAATAAAGGACAAACGGAGATCAACATCGTGTGACGGAGTCCTTTATTACAAATGTATAAGGTTTATAGCAATACAGTATATACTTTAATGTTGGGTTTGTCTATGGCAGTATATAGTACGGTGTAGACTCGTGTGATGTAAGAGAATAAAGTTTAGATGTAAGCATATTATATAATTTTTACGACGTAGAATTGTAATGTATTACTTACTGTTAGTAACTCAGCTTATTATAGAGTGTTGTTAGTATACTGATGATACTATGTAGTTTATACTTTAGTTGTTTACGTGTTGGTTTTAGTTACTGCAGCTACATACTATTAACTCTCCTTCCCTTTATTAATGCTACCCCTCCCTTTGATGCTGCTAATCCTGCATAATGCACGGGCATAATTAGTACTATTCACATACCTGCATTTACCATATCCCCTCCCTTTGATGCTGCTAATCCTGCATAATGCACGGGCATATGTAGTACTAATCACATTCCTGCATTTCCCATAAATATGCTAAATTCCTCTTGATATGAAAATTATTTTGTCAAGGCGCCCTTTTCCCCCCCTTCCAACCCAGCTTATATATATGCTCCAAGCTCGTGTGCTGTTTCATTCAGACGCTGTCTCCCCGACAGACCTGGTTTTCACCTGAAGACGGCTGCTTGCGTTGTGGCCGAAACGTTGTGAGAATTATTTTATTGTTTTATTTTTATTCTTTTATTACTTCCCTTCTACGTGACATAACCGAAAGAACCAAGAAGATTTGGTGAGGCACTTACTTCACCTGGAATGTTACATTCTACAAACAATAGGAAGGTACCCCAATGGGTTCTCTCTTATTGCCAATGGTAGCGAATGTTTTCATGGAGAAATTTGAGACAGATTCCATCCAGACATCCACCCTACGTCCGTCCTTGTCGAAGAGATACGTAGATGACACGTTCGTCATCTGGCCACATGGCCTACCAGCTCTGGGTCAATTCTTCAACCACATCAACTCCATACACTCAGCCATCAAATTCACCATGGAGGTAGAAAAGGATGGCAAGCTACCATTCCTGGATGTTTTGATCGAGAAGAGACCTGATGTCTCGTTGGGACATTTTGTCTACAGGAAAGCCACCCACACGGACACCCACCTCAAACCTATATCTAACCTCTTGTTGCAGCAGCCCTTTCTTGTTCAGCAGTTCTGCTGCTGTATCTTTCCACCTGATTGCTTGTGTTGCGATCGAAAGGTCGTGATTTATTATTTATTTTCTACATACGTGAACCAAAGAGTATCTCACTGATAGCCAGGATATTGTAAATGGTTTAATAATAATTTTCAACTTCAAGCCCATGACAGAGCTTGATGTCTCAAAAAGTTGTCTCTTCCAAACAAGTCCCCCACTGGAGCTGACGGCTTGCCTGCCTTCACTTTAATTGCATTGGGTGACGTGATTTTCAGGCCCCTAACCCATAATTAATTTGCCCATTCAAGACGACTCTGTAACCGCTCAATGGAAAACTGCTTTTGTTCACCCCCGTGCACAAAGGGGGTCTTCAGATGACCCTGATTACCACGGCCAATATCAATCTCATCTCCATTGATAACATTATTTGAAAAATAATTAAACTCCTAAATAAGTAACTTTCTTAAAAAGGAAAACTGTTACATCCGAAACAATCAGGAGAGCTGTTACATTCAAAACAATCAGGCTTCCGTAAACAATGCAGCACAACCTCCACTGTAATGGACACCCTAAATTTTTTTTCAATAATCTGGAGAAAAAAAAACTGCGCCTGCCTATTCTTAGATTTATCCAAAGCATCTGATACAGTCGACCATAGCATTTTATAAAATAGACTTCGAAGCCTACGATTTTCCGAGCACACAGTTGACTGGTTCAAAAGCTACCTTTTTTGACGGAATCAGGTCGTATCCATTGATATTCTGGTGTCTAACAAATGTTTAATTACTAAGGTTCCGTTTTTGGACCTATCTTGTTCTCCCTGTATGTCAATGACTTGGGCACCCAGCTTGACCACTCTGAGATGAACATCTTTGCTGATGACACCATATTGAGGGCTGCTGGCAATTACTCCAAAGACGTATACAGGAATTACAGAGTGATTTAAATTTCAGCACCAACTCATCTCACTTAAGCTCGTCCTCAATGCCAATACATCAAAGGTGACGTGTTTCCAGGGAAAAACAACCGGCAAGTCTTCCTCAGCGATGCAGTCTTAGATAATGAACGAATTGAGCAGGCAGGTAAAACGAATTACCTTAGGGTCGTCGTAGACTCAAAACTTCCTTGCAAGGATCACGTTGGCCACACTCGGAGAAAGGCAAAAATAAATACCGCCTTGTTTGCATGTTTTGCCACAAGTATGTTGTGGTTCATGCAGACTTGATGCCTTGCCAAAGGTATCATCTATTTAGTGTTTGAACATTTTAACACAACTATTGTTTTATTGCCAGAAAGGGTAAAACCTTGATAATATTTTTCATCATTTTCAAAACTGGCAAAAAATGTCCCATAGATAGAGCTCACAAAGTATGGCTACTGCGCACGCGTGATGCCCTCAGTGATAAGAGTGGCGCCTCTATGATGACCTCACTTTGCTGTGCCGCCCTCTCGTGGCGAGTCCCGGGGTACGACGCCTCCTGCACGGCCACGAGAGGGGAGTTCTGAAACATTCGTGCGGTGATCCAGCAACCCTCCCCGCTGCTGCTGCTGCCTCCACAGCGCTGGGTCACATGTCACGTGCGTAGTGACCACAACCACCCGTGGTGAAGTATGGTCCAACAATCACCACCATCACCACCCGTGGTGAAGTATGGTCCAACAATCACCACCATCACCACCCGTGGTGTAGTATGGTCCAACAATCACCACCATCACCACCCGTGGTGAAGTATGGTCCAACAATCACCACCATCACCACCCGTGGTGAAGTATGGTCCAACAATCACCACCACCATCATTCGTGGTGAAGTATGGTCCAACAATCACAACCACCACCACCCGTGGTGAAGTATGGTCCAACAATCACAACCACCACCACCCGTGGTGAAGTATGGTCCAACAATCACCACCACCATCACCCGTGGTGAAGTATGGTCCAACAATCACAACCACCACCACTCGTGGTGAAGTATGGTCCAACAATCACCACCACCATCACCCGTGGTGTAGTATGGTCCAACAATCACCACGACCCACAGCGGCCTGGCGAGGCCTTCATCCAGCAGTGCGCTGGCGAAGCGCCGTGACTGCTGTGGTCATGTTGTGGTTCACAAACTTTTAACTATTTTTATTTATTTTGCTTAACTGTGAGTTTTGTAACCTTTACATGTTTTCATTGCTACTGTCACTTGTGAGACTGTCAATCTCTAAACCCAATACACGGTGCAACTAAAATAATATTTATAGTTAAAGCTACAAACTAAACTGTTTTTATTGTTACCAGGTAAGGCCCCACTGAGCTACGTCACTCTCTTGCAGAAGCGACCTGCAGGCCATCACAAATGGCAGCTCAACTTCGTGGCTGATCACCACGTGGACATTTATTGCAGCCAAACACTCTGAAGGCGCGATGTTGATTCTAGATCACGAGGAGGGAGACACCACAAACTCAAAATGTACAGCAGCTGTCAGGGTCGGGATCGAACACACGACCTCCTTTATACCAGGCGAGGTAGTTAACATTTCCTAGCCACCACGGCACCCCAAGCCCTCTGCGTCTGGCTAGAAGGGCTGTGCAGAGCGCCCTCTAGTGGAGGCCCTTCTGCCTGCAGTGGCGTGAGCGAGCCGTTGCAGGGGCTGCACCTTCATCGTTTATCTTTGTCACATCGAGCGCCGTGTTTTACATTCTCCAGCGATCCTGACTGCTGATGAGACACTGAATGTCGAAACCGGTCCAGAATGTCTTTTCTGGCTTTGGAACCACCAATAGTGATGCTGAAATTGTGCACTCACAGGAAGATTTTTGTGGCTGCATTTTTTTTATATTCTTGATGTGGAAGGGGTCAGATGAACGTGAAAGATACAAATCCGCTGGGTTGTTGGTCAATGTGGAATTGTGCAATGGCGTAGTTTGACCGCCAGGGGGCAGTGCAGTTGTGTGATGAGTTTCAGTGATTCATCACGCAGGCGGTTTGGGTTGGATCGCGTGAACATAAACGTGTCGTGAACCCACCACCACACGGCCAATAAGTCAGGTTTGTCACGTGAATAAGAAACGTGCCAATCAGCGCCTACTTCAGCACATCGCTGTGATGGAGAGTAAGCCCACAACATTTACAATTCGAGTACGACGTTTCGCTTGAGATTACAACCACTTGTGGCGAATCGTCTGGCGGAGTGGGATGGAGGGAGATTGAGGGACATGGAGTGGGATGGAGTGGGGTGGAGGGAGCTAGAGACAGGGCCCTACCCTCGAGATGAACGTTCACGTTTGTGCTGTGCAAAACGAACCCCTCGCCCCTCGCGAGTGTTCATTTGCCTGCAGTGGAGATTCCCAGCTCGAGGTGTTGTCATGATTAACAGACAAGACTCGGTATTGTTGTAAACATATTTAATATTTCTGTCAGTTTGAGTCTCCAGGACAAGAGTTTTCTTTAAGAATATATAAATACTTCTCTTTACACCAGCAAATTGCTAAATCGTGGATTTTTTCTTGACCAAAGCTTTTACGAACAAATATTTTCTTCATACTGGCTTTAAACAAGGTTGACAATCGTCAATATTTTAAATAAAAAACTATAGACCTGAATGGAAAATGTTTGTCAAGACCAAACATGTGCAGCATGGCACTTAGAAACTAATCTCTTCCAAGCAGTCACAGTGTGGATCTTCTAGCGCAATGGTTCCCAACCTTTCTGGAGCCACGTTCACTGTCAACCCTCAAAACAAATTGCGGAATAACTTGCAGTGTATACAAGAAAGGTTTCGTGAATAAAATCGACAACATTCTTCAGGGAAATTAACATGGCCGTGTGGTCTACAGCTCACAGGCTGGGAACCACTCCTCTCGACCCACATCTCACAACAGTAACCATGAGCAGCATAGACTCCTGAGATCAATGCTTCCCGATTGTACAGATACAACAGACATTAGTTTGTGGCAAGTTCAAGGCGCCTACGATGTAATCTCTTCTGGGCCAAACATCCCAGAGTAAGAACCTTTAGGGTCCCGAGATTTGTGCAACGCACGCACATTTAGGTCCCTTCACAGCCAAAGAACCCCCGTATAGCCTCAACAGACTGTTGGGGCAAGTGCGGTTAGCGAGTAGTAGCACCGATGAAGGCCGGAACAGCACACGAGGGGGTGGGTGGCTAACACCACGCCCGACCGCCTTTGTCTCCCCAGTGGCCTCGAGACTTGTGCAAGGCACGCACATTCAGGTCCCTTCACAGGCAAAACTCAGACCTGCACCGCAACCACGGTGCAAATATTAAAGCGGAGAACATTAATACTTAGTACCCATGATCAACACAGGGTTAAACATGCGGTATTTAAAAGTGCTCATACGAATAGATGAATGAATGAATGTCACATGGTGCCCAATTCCACACCAGTGTAGAGACACGCACCTCGCGTGTAAACCGCGCGGCAGACAAAGACGAACCGAGAGGGAGAGCGGCGTCGCTTGGGCAACCTTCCCCCTCTCACCATCCACGCCGTCCGCTAGGAGCGGGCCATCTGTGCCACGGCAGCCAATTAAAAAAATACAAACCCGCGAATTTCATATACTTTCTACGTGAACGCAGAAAGATGAGAGGGGAGAGGTAGGAGAACACGTGGTGAGGAGTACAGGGAGATGAGAGAGGAGAGGTAGCGGAGAGTCTATGGAGGATCGTGTAGGCGCAGAGTGCAATCTCGCAGTCGATTGGGGACCGGATTGGGAGCCAGTGGGGGAATCTGAGGATTGGGATGATGAGGTTTCATTTACAGAAGCTGTGAGGTGAGGCAGCAGCAGGATTCTGGATCCTGCAGAATTTCGCAATGAGGGATTTGAATTGGCCAAAGAGGAGTGTGGAGAGTCACAGAGAGGGAGAGAGATGACAAAAGCACGGTCTGTAAACAATCAGCTCATGAAGCACAGGCAGTCAGCACCGCACTCCCGCATGGCACTGTGGGTAAGAGCGGCTCCACGTGCCGGCCAGGGTGGTCACGGGGGAGCCCACAGAAGATTTCTTCAAACGCCGTCCGTGCCGTTGTCTCCGTTGTCCCCCTTGTGTCCATTCACCTCCATCAGTGGACGCCAATTCTCCTCCACACCACCGTGCACGTCTGCTTGCCCATCGCCACTGAGGAACAAGAACACGAGTTTACAAACCGCACAGTGCCTGCACCCAGCAACACCTGGACACAGTAAACAGGGAATCACCCCCCAGGTGCTCAGTGGTGCCGACTCGGCACCTCTGAGAACCCAGCCCAGCTTCCTGTGTTCATATTCATTCATGAGGGCTGGAGGATCCTGGTGCCAGGCTAGAGGTTAAAAATGCATTTCTTTATAACTGCTTTGGGTGTTCAGTTTGTTGTCCTTCCCCCCACCCCTTCGGTTAGCTACGGTTGGCTACGTTGGGTGCAAACGAAGTTCAACACACACACGTACTGTACATACCTGTGTGAGCCGGGGGAGGTACCAGACGACCGACGGCGTTTCTGGATGAAGATGATAACGACAGCCGCTGCTACCACGACGACCGCCGCCACAAGCCCCTTCCTGCCCCGGAAGTGGGGACCTGCTGTGGGCGAGGTCTCCTCTGCCGCAGCGACACTCATGCCACTTGCACCGCTGTGCAGCTGTGGATCTGCAGAGACACAGACGGCGTTGTCAAGAACCTAGACAGAGAAGGGGGCTCAACGAGACCCCCACTCGCACCCAGCACCACCGCCTCAACCAGCGACTCAACACGGCTTCACGTGCAGCAGGGAGAGACCACTCGCTCAACACGGCTTCACGTGCCACACTCAAAGGCCCAATCCACGTGCATCACAGATTCCTGGCGGAGAATCACTCAGCTCTGTACAAATGCCCACTCCAGCCCTGCACCCCGTTTTTTCCCGTGACCCTCGACCTCCCGGCTTCTACGATTTGGATCTCGCAATTTCCTCCTCCATGATCGCATCATCTGTTTTGAACAAGATCGTGAAGGATGATGCTCATTTTATTTTTATCACGTTTTTTACCTGCCAAATAATAAAATTACAAACTCGTTATTAATTGTTAAGGTGTGGATATGACACAACATCTGTATTGTCCGTGTGCTCCTCCGTGTTTCCCCTCCACATTCACCAACACGTGTGTAAGAGTATTTGGCTGCTGTAAATTCCCACGCGATAATCCACTTGTGGCCAGGTCGCTTCTGAAAAAAAGCTACACAGCTCATTGGGCCTAACCTGGTAAAATAAACAAATGTTTTTCGTTGTCGCCTTTGTGGTTCGTGTTGAAGCTGGCTCGTAGGTGGGAAGACGTACCGAAGCTCCCACTAGGCTTTGCGAGAGGGCGCGTGGCGCAGTTTGGCGCTCGCCATCACACGGTGTGGTCGTGTCGCTACAGTTCTCCGCGGCGAGTCCAGTGCAATGTCCTTAAACAACGGCGCTAGGCCGCTCTGAATCAAATTGACGCTGAACCGCTTGCCCGTTCCGAGATTCAGCGGTGAGCGGGACACCCGCCCGTTCACGCCGTACAGTACGTACAACGACACAGACGGGGAGCTGATCAGCTACGCAGCACCACAGGGTGCACGAATTGTGTAACAATGACGTCACGCAATACAATGATGTCATGCTGCAATGCAATGATGTAATACCTATGTCACGTGACTTCCTGAATGCCGTGCTTAACCGTGGATACTCAAACTTTCAGGCTGCGGTTGGTAAATTGGTCTGCGGATAATAAACCGCATATACATGAAACCGGGGTTGGCGAGAGATTCCTGTATAATGAACGTGAACAAGTTAATAACATCTGAGATCGAGATTATGACGTTGTGAAAGTTGATATTTATTCTATTGTGAAGAGTCATATGAACCTTATGGCCGTACCCCAGGGTACCATAGTACCCCGGCTCTTGCATAATGTCTGTGATGCAGTCATTTTTAGTCTGTTGATGGTTGGCGATGCGGGAATCGACTCATCTCGACGAGCTGGACACGATGCACTGTTCAAAGTTGAATTTTTCAATAACGGATTTTTATGCTAATGTTTGGCATTTCGACATCGTGGAGTAGCACTGATTTCGGATTGATTGGTACCCCAGTCGCAGAGTTAAGTAGACTCCTGGAAAAAATAGGGTCCCAGAAATAAAATATTTAATTGCCTCGGCCATTTTGTATTATTTGGTACCGCGGGGTACCGCCATATCGTGGCTAGCGTAGCTGTATCAGCGCAATTCACGCCGTCATCTCACAACGTGAGCGCCACACTCGGCTCTTGTTCACCTGCAGGCATCACGTTCAGCACCATCTCCTCTCGCACCTCGATGTTCTCCGCGTTACATCGATGACATTTGATGATGCACAGAGCCACCGGGCCGAGGCTACTGGGGAAGTTGGGGATGCCGATGGAGCAGTTTCCCATCCGCACGTCTCCCACAGACTTAACGATACTCAAGTCCTCTTTTTCATACCCCGATTGATAGATCTGCAATGACACAAACCACAATATGGAAGGTCAACCACAATGGCACACGATGCCCACGGTAAAATCGTCCTGAATGCCCCTGGGCTCGTTGGATGTCGCAAGCTAAGCAGACGTGAGCTCGGTTACCACCAGGATGGGAGACCTCCTGGGAACACCAAGCGTTGTAGGCTTCGGCTGCAAGGTGACAAGGGGATGGTAAAACATCAATGTTGAGTTTGCGTAGCGTGGTAAGAGTGGGTCTACCTGTGGACTTGAATCTGTGTAGAGGATTGCATGTAATCCCCCTCGAATTAAACACGAGGTTCATCAGGTACTCTGGTTTCCCTCCACATGAAGCCAAACTCTCATTAACGTACCATCATTGGGCAAAGATCTCAGAGCAGTGCCTTCTTGAAATGGAGTTGTGAGACTAATTGAGACATTTCTGGGTAATTGAAGGGTGCCACATAACTTTGTTATTATCTGTTACGTGTCGACGTAGACATCAAGTACGGAGATAATTATTCACGGTTGACATGAAATGCGGCCGTCACCTTGGTCATCTCTCTTCTCGTCACGTTCTCTGTGTAGCGTCTGGGCATCGTGAACCACTCGAGGACGATGTGGCTCAGGTCGGGCGACGGTGGGTAGAAGGAGCAGGGAAGAGTCACGTTCTCTCCCTCTCTCACAGACAGACTTTGCGGAAGAGTGATCTGGAGCTTCGCAGCCGATGCCGCATCTACAGGGAGACAGGTCACACTCGTTACACATATACCTACAGAGATGTACGTATGTTGAATATCATTACACTCGTTACACCACTCTGCAAAGGTACGTGCAGTGGTAACAGGGCCACTGAGAGATCTTGAAAATGCCGTTAAACACAGGGGTGCTACACCATCTACATTTGTAATTGTGGAGAAAAGATGAATAAAACTACGACCTCAATGGAAGCTACAACACGGTGAGCTCCGCACAGCATCAGCTGTCAGAGAGGAAGGCCGCTCACCTGGTGAGTGAGCGCAGTGAAACGTCTCCCCCTCGACCAAATCCTAGGGCTGCCTCCCCCACCGTCAGTGCCCAGACTCAGAGCGGCCGCTCGCGAGCCGAATCTCAGCAGGGTGCGCGGCCCGGGAGCCACTGGCACGGCCAGGGCGGTGTCACAGGGGTCACATGACCGTGACCTCATTGTCACGGCGGTTTATTTAAAAACTAATAAGCTAGTCTAATTTGCAGGTAAGTGACCTGGCCACTAATGGTAGCTCAACGAAGTGGCTTGTGCTGAAATTTACTGCGGCAAAATAATCGAAATGCGTGTTGATTATAAATGTGGAGGAAAAAAACGGGAGGACCCGGAGACAAATCCACGTGACCACAGTGAGAGAGACATGCAAACTCCAAATATACAGCAGGCGTCAGCGTCAAAATCGAACCCACAACCTCCTTCATTCCCGGCGAGGGAGGTAACGGTGAACTATCACCTGGCTAACGAAAGGGCACCGTCTAATGTGTGCTGGGTGAGTGGCTCTGGGTGTGAACTCACCCAGAAGGGAGATGAACACTGGGATGAGGAGCAGCTTCATGGTCGGCTCTGTCTGCTGATGATCACAAAAGAGAATGAGTCATTAGTCCATCTCTCAGCTCACCCCAATGGTTCATGCTCCCTTACTTTCACATCACTCCGCTTCTACATATTTTAATTTGTGATGTCGGTGATGAGATTCATATTTTGAATTTAGTTATCCCAACTTTAATAACATATGGACAAAGTAACAGACTGTGAACCCGAGAAGTCTGGGGTGATGGAGCAGGCAGTGTTGTGATTATGAGCGGTGGTGTAGTGAGCTTAACACGTTGTAGGTTTTCGCGACCAATACCATCCATAATACAGGTTTTTTGGGTTAAAGTGCGTGAATATAAATCTGTCGTTAAACCCGCCATCACGCGACACAGCCAATTAGTAAGGTTTGTCACGTAAACAGAACGTGGCCAATTCATTACTAGAGCAGCACACCGGTGTGTTGGAGAGCAAAGCCACAACATTTACATCTGATTACGACGTTTCTCCAGAAATTACAACCAGCTTCATCAGGCAACAGCCAGAGTTGTGCAGAAATCCTGTTTTGTTACTTAGAGTGGTAGACGTGATGGTGTCACTTGTGAGCACTTATTGCACGCAGTGGGGGGGGGGGATTAATCAGAGGTCGCAAACTGGTTTTGATTCCTTACCCGTACCCGGCCGCACCAGGGGCGCAAACGGCTACCCGTACCTGGCCGGGTACGGGTAGCCGGGTATCGGGTAGGGTACGGGTATCAGGTACCCGGTTGCGACCTCTGGGATTAATGAATGTGTAGTGGGTTCCACGGAGCTGTAGTCTTTAGAGGTGTAATGGGTTCCGGAGACACTTGTAGAGGTAACTTCTTTATTACGATACACAGCCTAGGGACACAACCCGTGGGACACAGCCCAATCCTAACGTGCCTGACTCTGGCTACGCTCTCAGGTCCTCCGGCTACGATTACCCTAGGGGAGGCTACCTGACCCGACCCAGCCAAGGTGCGGGTCTCGACCACTGCTCCACGCTTGGCCCTTAAAAAGACGTCGGGTCCCAGGGGTCCCAGCCTAGCTGGTCTCCTAGCTCAGGGTGGCACCCCCTATCGACCCGTGCCTGCAACTACAGGCAAGTCTACACAGGGCGGTGTGTGCGATGTATTTCCGACGCTACAAATGCACAAAACTTACGGACAAAGTCACCGACTGGGAAACCGGGGAGCCGGAGGAGGGTCGTGGTGGGGGGGCGATGGTGGCTCCTTTGCCATTGCAGACAATCCTCGGTCGAGGCGCTTTTGCACTACGCCGTTTTGTAATAACGCGGCGCAATCTGCATTTCGACCTCCTGTCGTTTGGGCTGCGCTGTGAACTGCACAGCGTCTAAATACAACTTGGGATTGCGTTGGCAGTGGCCTTACTCGTGTTTGTGTTGTGAGTGCTTTAGCGGTGTGAATACTCTGTAGTGTAGGAGTTGGTACCATCACGCGAAACGTTTCAGCAATAACCCCCCCCCCCCACACACACACAATGAGAATGGACGCGCCCGGTTTCACGAGCGCCATCTTTAGGGCGTTGACCTTGAGTGAGGCAGTCGCGTCTTTGAGCTCGCCTCGGCTTCCTTACCACCCTCATCACTCTCACCACCACGACACTCATCACCACCACCCTCACTCTCATCACCATCACCACCCCCATCATCCTCACCACCACCACCCTCACCATCCTCACCCTCACTCTCACCACCACCACCCTCACCACCACTCTCATCACCACCACCCTCCACTACCTCCCAGCAACAGCAGCCGCCATTCGCAAGTGGCGGTGACGTCACCAAGGCGCCTGTGCCAGGCTAGGTGCACTTTGAGGCGACCATGTGAAGTGTCGAAGGCTCGCTGCTGACAAGAGGTCACGGGACAGACCCAGCAGGTGCCATGGGTTGACGTGGTGTGTGGGTGTGGGGTGGTGGTGTGTGTGTGTTGGGTGGTGTGTGTTGGTGGTGTGTGTGGAGTAGTGTGTTTTGGGTGGTAGGTTGGGGTGGTGGTGTGTTTATGTGGTGGTGTGTGTGGGGTGGTGGTGTGTGTGTGGGGTGGTGGTGTGGTTTGGTGTCGGGTGGTGGTTCGGGGTGGTGGTGTGTGTCGGGTGGTGGTGTGTGTGTCGGGTGGTGGTGTGTGTGTCGGGTGGTGGTTGTGTGTGTCGGGTGGTGGTATGTGTGTGTGGTGGTGTGTGTGTGTGTGTGGTGGTGTGTGTGTGTGTGTGGGGTGGTGTGTGGGGTGGTGGGTGTGTGTGGTGGTGTGTGTGTGGGGTGGTGGTGTGTTGTGGTGTGTGTGGTTGCTGTGTGTTTCTGTGTGTTGGTGTGGTGTGTGTAGGATGGTGGTGCGTGTGTTGCTGTGTGTTCATGGTGGTGGTGTGTGTGTGGGGTGGTGGTGTGTGTGTGTTGTGTGGTGGTGGTGTGTGTGTGTTGTGTGGTGGTGGTGTGTGTGTATGGGGTGGTGGTGTGTGTGTGTCGGGTGGTGGTGTGTGTGTATGGGGTGGTGGTGTGTCGGGTGGTGGTGTGTGTGTGTGTCGGGTGGTGGTGTGTGTGTGTGTCGGTGGTGGTGGTATGTGTGTTGTGTGGTGGTGGTGTGTGTGTATGGGGTGGTGGTGTGTGTCGGGTGGTGGTGTGTGTGTGTGTCGGTGGTGGTGGTATGTGTGTTGGGTGGTGGTGGTGTGTGTGTTTCTGTTTGTTCATGGTGGTGGTGTGTGGTGGTGGGGTGTGTGGGGTGGTGGTGTGTGTGTGTGTGGGGTGGTGTGTGGTGTGTCTGGTTGCTGTGTGTGTGTGTGGGGTGGTGGTGTGCGAGTAGTGGTGGTGTGTGAGTGGTGGTGTGTGAATGGTGGTGGTGTGTGTGAGTGCTGTGTGTGTGAGTGGTGGTGAGGTGGTGGTGAGGTGGTGGTGGTGTGCTAGTGGTGGTGTGAGTGGTGGTGTGTGTGGTGTGTGTGTGAGTGGTGGTGTGTGTGAGTGGTGGTGGTGTGTGAGTGGTGGTGGTGTGTGTGGTGGTGGTGTGTGTGGTGTGGTTGCCATTCACTGCCAAGGCAGTTGACGCCGCCTCTGAACGCGACCACGGCAGTGAGCTGCGCTACAACCGCCTCAACTCTGTCACGCGATGCTGAGTGGGCGGGGGGTGATGTCCCACCACCAGGCCAGTGAGTGACTTCTCCAGTGGGAGGGAAGAAGCAGAATGAGAAACTTGTGACGTCACTGCTTACTGGTGGCGTTAAGAGGCGGAGTCGACTGCCTTTGCAGTGAACGACTCCACAAAGATGAAGACAAAGATCCCCCGTGTAGCCTGAACAGACTGTAGAGGCAAGTGCTGTTAACGAGTAGCAGCACCTATGAAGGCCAGAACGGCACACGAGGGGGTGGGTGGCCAACACCACGCCCGGCCGCCTTTGTCTCCCCAGTGGCGATGTTTACACACCGCACCAGGTACTCATTTGAGGCCGAGTCGACCTAGGAGAGGCCCAGGACCGGGTCAGATCATCGTCACCGGTGTTGACCGTGAGCGGGAATCGAACTCGGGACGCTGGGGTCGTAGCGCAGCGCGCTAACTGCTGCACCACCGCTCCCCACGGACAACACCACCAACTCACCCAACTGGCTGCGAGTGTATTCACCAGCGCATTGAGAAACCCGCGGAAGTTCCACTCGGACGCAGCCTCCCAGCCCGAAGTGGCACAGATCCCAGTCGTGGCGTCTAAACTGAGTACCACTTTGTTCGAATCGACTGGGGGTGGCCCTACAGAGGAGAGAGTCTGGCCCCCGACAGGGCAATGTGGAGTTTCCGTCACGAGCTCAACCACCGCTCCCGAGAGCAGGAGGCGACCCTCCACTTTGCTGTGGCGAGAATCGCGACCTCGTGTCAGGCGGGGCGCTCGAGACCGCGCGGACTTCCGCGGATGTTTAATTTTTCCGAATGTAAAATGCGGCAGTTCTAGTGACACGTGAAATCCCAATCACACAGTCACACAGAGTGATAGACAGAGTTATAGACACAGAGCGTGATATACACACAGACACACAAAGAGTGATAGACACACAGGCACACAGACTGATAGACACACAGACACACACAGTGATATACACAGAGACACACAGACACAGAGTGATAGACACAGACACACACAGAGTGATAGACACAGACACACACAGAGTGATAGACACAGACACACACAGAGTGATAGACACAGACACACACAGAGTGATAGACACAGACACACACAGAGTGATAGACACAGACACAGAGTGATAGACACAGAAACAGAGTGACAGACACAGACACACAGTGACAGACACACACAGAGTGATATACACAGAGACAACAACAACCGCCATTCGCCACTAAGTGGCGGTGACGTCACCACGACGCTTGTGCCAGGCCAAGTGCACCTTGAGGCCACGTGAAGTGTCGACACACAGACGCACACAGTGATAGACACACAGACGCACACAGTGATACACACAGACACACACAGAGTGATAGACACAGAGTGACAGACACAGACACACAGAGTGACAGGCACACAGACACACACAGAGTGATAAGACACACACAGTGATAGACACACAGACACACAAAGAGTGATAGAGACACAAACAGAGTGATAGACACACACACACACAGAGATAGACACACAGTCACACAGACACAGTGTGATAGACACACAGAGTGATAGACACAGAGACACGTAGACCACGAGTGTAACAGTCACAGGCAGAGACTCTCACACAGACGCCTCGACACGAGGAGTCGATGAACCAAATGGAACCCCGAGAATCGCGGTGGGGACCCAGGGACGCAGTCTCCGTGAGCAGGGCGAGAGAGACAACCTCACCTGCTCCTCTCAGCTGTGGTGCTGCTGCTGGGGAGACGCAGGAGGGACGTGGGGTCGCCTCCAACACTCGGCGATAGCAGCAACAGCAGCGCGACTGGGCGACTGACCGGTCACTGTATGTGTAGGCAATGCCGTAGCTTCCTGGAGGCGACGTTACCCCGCCTCACTCTCGAGTTGTGTCCAATCAGAGTCGCCTGCTGCTGCCGCTCCCACCGCGTGACACTCGGCGAGGCAAAGCGATGGCCCACACGAGAATGCCCCACGGCGTGCTGCACTGTGGAATTGTGATTGCGTTGACAGTAAAAGCGAGTGGACTGACGCGTGTTTCTGTTGTGAGTGCTTTAGCGGTGTGAATACTCTGTAGTGGAGGAGTTGGTACAATCCTCACCACCCTCTTCACCACCACCCTTACCCTCATCACCACCACCCTCATCACCACCACTCTCATCACCACCACTCTCATCACCACCACCCTCACCCTCATCACCACCACCCTCATCACCACCACTCTCATCATCACCACCACCCTCACCCTCACTCTCATCACCACCACCCTCACCCTCATCACCACCACCCTCATCACCACCACTCTCATCACCACCACCCTCACCCTCATCACCACCACCCTCATCATCACCACTCTCATCATCACCACCCTCACCCTCATCACCACCACCCTCATCACCACCACCCTCACTCTCATCACCACCACCCTCACTCTCATCACCACCACCCTCACTCTCATCACCACCACCCTCACTCTCATCACCACCACCCTCACCCTCATCACCAGCTCACTCAACACCACCACCCTCATCACCATCTCACTCAACACCACCACCCTCATCACCACCACTCTCATCACCACCACCCTCACCCTCATCACCACCACCCTCACTCTCATCACCACCACCCTCATCACCACCACCCTCACTCTCATCACCACCCTCACCCTCATCACCACCCTCACTCTCATCACCACCACCCTCACCCTCATCACCACCACCCTCACCCTCATCACCACCACCCTCACCCTCATCACCACCACCCTCATCACCACCACCCTCACTCTCATCACCACCCTCACCCTCATCACCACCCTCACTCTCATCACCACCACCCTCACCCTCATCACCACCACCCTCACCCTCATCACCACCACCCTCACCCTCATCACCACCACCCTCACCCTCACCACCACCACCCTCATCACCACCACCACCCTCATCACCACCACCCTCATCACCACCACACACACACCAACTGGCCGAGTGAATTCTCCAGCGCATTGAGAAACCCGCGGAAGTTCCACTCGGGACGCAGCCTCCCGACTGTGCTCGGACAGATCCCCACAATCAGCCCGAAGTGGCACAGATCCCAGTTGTGGCCGATAAACTAAGTACCACTTTGTTTGAATCGACTGGGGGTGGCCCTACAGAGAAGAGAGTCTGGCCCCCGACAGGGCAATGTGGAATTTCCGCCACGGGCTCAACCACCGCTCCCGAGAGCTGGAGGCGACCCTCCACTTTGCTGTGGCGAGAATGGTGCCTTGCGTCCAGCTGGGTGCTCGAGACCGCGCGCGGACTTCCGCGGATGTTTGATGTCTCTGATTGTGAATCGCTGTTCCCATCGCCCGCAAGCGGCGGGGTTCTAATAGCAAGTTGCATTCACTCGCACAGTTACACATATACACGGACACAGTCACACATAGACACACAGTCATACATAGACACAGTGATAGAGACACACAGTCACACATAGACAGAGTGATAGACACAGACACACAGTCACATAGACACACAGAGATAGACACAGACACACAGTCATACATAGACAGTGATAGACACACAGTCACAGACAGTGATAGACACACAGTCACACAGACACAGTGATAGACACACAGTCACACATAGTGTGATAGACACAGTGATAGACACAGAGACACACAGTCATACATAGACACAGTAATAGACACACAGAGTGATAGACACACACAGACACAGAGTGATAGACACAAAGACACGTAGACCACGAGTGTAACAGTCACAGGCAGAGACTCACACAGAGAGACGCCTCGACACGAGGAGTCGATGAACCAAATGGAACCCCGAGAATCGCGGTGGGGACCCAGTAACGCAGTCTCCGTGAGCTGGAAAAGACCGACAACCTCACCTCTCAGCTGTGATGCTGCTGCTGCGGAGAAGCAGGAGAAGCAGGAGGGACGTGGGGTCTCCTCCAATACCCAGCGATAGCAGCAGCAGCAGCGCGTCTGGGCGACTGTCCGGTCACTGAATGTGTAGGCAATGCCGTAGCTGCCTGGAGGCGACATTACCCCGCCTCACTCTCGAAGTGTACAATAATCAGTCGCCTGCCGCTGCCGCTCCCACCGCGTGACACTCGGCGAGCCAAAGCGCTTTCATACCGGGGGGCATTCTCGTGTGGGCTGCATCGTGAAATTGTGGCTTACAAAATTCATACCTTAAAATGCAGCTTGTGGTGACTTTCAAAATTCAGACCTTAAAAATACAGCTTGTGATTGCATTGAGAGTGAGTGCTTTAGCGGTGTGAATACTCTGCAGTGTAGAAGTTGGTACAATCCTCACCACCACCACCCTCACCACCATCCTCACCACACTCACTCTCACCACCCTCAACTACCTCCCAGCAACAGCAGCCGCCATTCGCAAGTGGCGGTGACGTCACCAAGGCGCCTGTGCCAGGCTAGGTGCACTTTGAGGCTGCCACGTGAAGTGTCGACGGCTTGCTGCTGACAGGTCACAGGAGACCCAGCAGGTGCCATGGGTTGACGTGGTGGTGTGCGTGTGGGGTGGTGTGTCGGGTGGTGGTGTGTGTGGCGGTGTGTGTGTGTTGGTGGTTGCTGTGTGTATGGTAGTGGTGTGTGTGGTGGTGGTGTGTGTTGGTGGTTGCTGTGTGTGGTGGTGGTTGCTGTGTGTTGTGGTGGTGGTGTGTTTATGGTGGTGGTATGTTTGGTTGCTATGTGTGTGGTGGTGTGTGTGGTTGTTGTGTGTGTGTGGTGGTGGTGTGTGTGGTTGTTGTGTGTGTGTGGTGGTGGTGTGTGTGGTGGTGGTGTGTATTGGTGGTTACTGTATGGTGGTGGTGTGTGTGGTTGCTGTGGTTGCTGTGTGTGTTGGTGGTTGCTGTGTGTATGGTGGTGGTGGTGTGTGGTGGTAGTGTTTATGGTGGTGGTGTGTGTATGGTGGTGGTGGTGTGTGTGGTTGTTGTGTGTGTGTGGTGGTGGTGTGTGTCCGTACGCATGGAGGGGGGGGGGGTTAACCCAAATGTGTACCGTGTGCGTATGGGGGGGGGGGTCTACTGACAATGTGCGCATAGGAAACGGGGGGGGGGGGGTGATGCCTCGATAATAATATTAATATTCGAGAATTATCGAAGATAATTTGTCTACATTGGCCTTCAACCAAGTTGCATAGTCCGGCGGTAGACTGCTTAAACACGTTAATATTATTAATCTTTGATCGTTTCATAATAAACGTGTTTGGGTTAGATCGCGTTATTTATAAATGTGTCGTAACCCTCCACCACCCGACACGGCCAATCAGCAAAAAGTGTCACGTTGACAAAAGACAAATAGTTCACTACTTTAGCCCACCGGTGTGTTGAACAGTGAATCCACAACATTTACAATTTTTGAGTTCGACGTTTCGCTGGTAATTACATCCAGCATCCAACCTCAAGTGGGAAAGCATGGTCTGCTTCTGAGGTGGCCGTGATTTATTTAATTTTATACCTACGTGACGTTACCGAAAGAACCAAAGAGTATTGATTCCTGCATTCACGAAAGCTTCAAATCAAGATTGGGTACCACTCTGTTTGAATCGACTGGAGGTGGCCCTACAGAGGAGAGAGTCTGGCCCCCGACAGGGCAATGTGGAGTTTCCGTCACGGGCTCAACCACCGCTCCCGAGAGCAGGAGGCGACCCTCCACTTTGCTGTGGCGAGAATCGCGACCTCTCGTCCAGCTGGGCGCTAGAGACGCGTGCGGACTTCCGCGGATGTTTAATGTCTCTGATCGTGAGTCGCTGTTCACATCGCCCGCAAGCGGCGGGGTTCTAATAGCAAGTCGCATCCCACTCGCACAGTCACACACAGTCACACAGTCACACATAGACACACAGTCACACATAGACACACAGTGATAGACACACAGACACACATAGACACACAGACACACAGTCACACATAGACACACAGTCACACATAGACACAGTGATAGACACACAGACACACAGTCACACATAGACACACAGTCATACATAGACAGTGATAGACAGAGACAAACAGAGTGATACACACACAGTCACACATAGACACACAGAGATAGACACATAGACACAGAGTGATAGACACACAGACACACATAGACACACAGTCACACATAGACACACAGTGTGAGACACACAGTCACACATAGACACACAGTGATACATAGACACACAGTGTGATAGACACACAGTCACACATAGACACACAGTGATACATAGACACACAGTCATACATAGACACACAGTCATACATAGACACAGTGATAGAGACACACAGAGTGATACACACACAGTCACACATAGACACACAGTCACACACAGACACACAGTGTGATAGACACACAGTCACACATAGACACAGTGTGATAGACACACAGTCACACATAGACTCACAGTCACACATAGACACACAGTCACACATAGACACACAGTGATAGACACACAGACACACATAGACACACAGTCACACATAGACACACAGTGATAGACACACAGACACACATAGACAGTCACACACAGTCACACATAGACACACAGTGATAGACACACAGACACACATAGACACACAGTCATACATAGACACACAGTCATACATAGACACAGTGATAGAGACACACAGAGTGATACACACACAGTCACACATAGACACAGTGCGATAGACACAGTCATACATAGACACAGTGTGATAGACACAGTCACACATAGACACACAGACACACAGTCACACATAGACACACAGTGATAGACACACAGTCACAGACAGACACACAGTCACACATAGACACAGTGTGATAGACACACAGTCACACATAGACACACAGTGTGATAGACACACAGTCACACATAGACACACAGTGTGATAGACACACAGTCACACATAGACAGAGTGATAGACACATAGACACACAGTGATAGACACAGTCACAGATAGACACAGTGATAGACACACAATCATACATAGACACAGTGTGATAGACACACAGACACAGTCACACATAGACACAGAGTGTGATAGACACACAGACACACAGTCATAC